CGTTCCTTTGCTCTAACTCTCTCAGATACTCCAGATTTAATCCCATTTATTTCTCCCCACCGAAACTCCCCTACCCCCTTCAGCTTTGTTTCGCTTAGGGCCAGGACATCCAACTTCTTTTCATTCGTAACATCAGCAATCATCTGTTTCTTGTCATCCGAACTACATCCACGCACATTCAAGCATCCCAGTTTTATAAAGTTTTTCTTCTTCTCTTTTTTAGTAAATGTCTACAGGAGAAGGGGTTACTAGCCCATCGCTCCCGGCATTTTAGTCGCCTCGTACAACACGCATGGCTTACGGAGGTAAGATTCTTTTCCACTTCCCCATGGACAATTGAAGAAATAAAGAAGAACAAGAGCTATTTAGAAAAAGGAGAAAAACCTAGATGTACATATTTATATATTCATGTGCGTGTGTGTGAAGTGTGACCAAAGTGTAAGTAGGAGTAGCACGATATCCCTGTTATCTAGCATGTTTATGAGACAGAAAAAGACACCAGCAATCCTACCATCATGCAAAACAGTTACAGGTTTCTGTTTCACAGTCATCTGGCAGGGCGGTAGTACTTCCCTGGGTGGTTGCTGTCTACCTACTACCTTGTACATACTTATACATACATACAGTTTTCTTGTACATACTTATTTTATTCTGTTGACTGAGTACAAGAAAATGCCTGTTTACCTATTTCAACTTCCTAATAAAGTGATCAGAAATTGGTAATTTGGCCAATTTCACACAGAATTGAAGGAATGCCAGTTTCAAAATAGGGTCCAGAATAAACGATGGAGACATTCCTGGCATTAAAGAAACATTTTCCCTCTTCATTAGTAACGTTTCCAGGCCCCTCTTATATTACACTTGCTTTCCATTTTGAATTTTTACTCCTATAAAAAATAGAAGATTTACTGTTATGCAGACTACTGAATTATTGTAATAATTGTATAAATAGTATCAGTGCATTCATGAACGCATATTAAACCCACCAGTTGACGTGTATTGGACGCCTGACGTGATTTATTTACTCCTGATCATTGGCAAAAATTGAACATTTCTACTAATTTGAGCTCAATTTTAACCCTTGAACTGTCCAAACGTAGATCTACATCCACATGCGAGGGGGTACGAATGTAGACCTACGTTTTTTTACATGCTTTCAAATGGGGAAAATCAAGGTCGGAGCACTACGCATGCGAACGTAGATCTTCGTTTGGACAGTTTAAGGGTTAAGCTACTTTCAGTCCTGAGCACCAATCAAAATTATCTCTATTTCTGTAACATATTTTCCATTCTATCAAATGAGACCAAGAAAGTAAGAATACAACCATAAAAACCATATGAAAATACCCCACAAAGTCGCTGTTTTAAACCAAAAACATGGTATCAGTTTTTTTTCTTCTTATGCACTGCATGCTGTAGGATTTTTTTTTGTATGGTGCACACTTACCACTTTGACCCATTCTCTCATCTCTAGGCCCAAATTTATCACTCACAGCTTATCCGAGTGAGCTGAGCTGATGGCGTCATATTACAGGACGGACACTGGTTTCAAAGCTGTGATATAACAGGACCAACACTGAAAGGTTACCGTGTTCCATATCTAGGTTTGGGGGTCTGTAAATTACAACCAGGATTAACTTTTTGTGTCCATTGAGAAACTGTAGCCAAATAGATTCATTGTCTGTTACTTCCACTATTATATCTTGTCTTCCTTTATCTTTAATATACCTTTGATGAGTTTTGAGTGTCTTTCTACTCCTGGAGTCTGGCCATGGGCCAGGCTTATCTGGCACTAGCCTGGTCAATCAGGCTGCTGGTGCTGGAGGCCCACCACCCCACATATCCATCACAGTCTGGTTGGTCTAATGCAACAGTTTAAACTTTTTCTAACATACATTGCCATTCCACCACCCTTCCTGTTGACTCTGTCAACATAGAATAATTTATAACCCTTTATGTGGTATCCAGCAGGCATTTCTGTATCTTTCGGTTGAACCAGGGCTCTTATTGAAATATCTATGCTTGCTGCACATACAATTAATCTTAGCTTGTCTGTCTTATTTCTGGCACTCCCACTGTTAGTATAGTAGTAGACCCTAAGGAAGTTAATCATGATCCCACAAGTTCATACGATACATTTCATAATAGTATTCCATTCGTTTTAGTGCCTGCAATTGCTAAATAAGTCACCTTTGCTCCAAAGAAAGCTTCTAGTGCCATACCTTTGGTAAAGAATGTGAGAAACACATAATTTAAGAAAAAGTTTGTAGAAAAATACGAAAGAGGTGGTGGTAGAGTGGTAGCAGTTGTGATAGTGGTAGAAGGTGGTAGCAGTTGTGATAGTGGTAGAGGGTGGTAGCAGTTGTGATAGTGGTAGAGGGTGGTATTACCAACAGACCCCTGGCAGTCTTCAAGCTGGCACTGGACAAGCACCTAAAGTCAGTTCCTGATCAGCCGGGCTGTGGCTCGTACGTTGGTTTGCGTGCAGCCAGCAGCAACAGCCTGGTTGATCAGGGGCTGATCCACCAGGAGGCCTGGTCACAGACCGGGCCGCGGGGGTGTTGACCCCCGAAACTCTCTACAGGTAAACTCCAGGTAATTGTGATAGTGGTAGAGGGTGGTAGTGATGGTGGTAGAAGGTGGTAGTGATGGTGGTAGTAGTTGTGATAGTGGTAGAGGGTGGTAGTGATGGTGCTAATGGTTGTGATAGTGGTAGAGGGTGGTAGTGGTTGTGATGGTGGTAGAGGGTGCCTTCTTCAGTGATTCTGCAATTCTACTAACTCCTTCAATGTTGTTGGAGTTATATAGGGCTACAGAAAACACCGCCACCTCAGCTGCTGCTTCACCACCATTATGGACGGCTTATGCTATCAGTGGCCCTTATACATGTACATCTAAAACAGCAACAGAACACCTCTTGTTTCATACATAATGACTTATTTTATTCATTCTAGAGTATATTCCATGTTTCTATGTTATTAACATTGTTTATTATATCATATTAGTTGAAATGTGATAGATAAATAAGCCGTAGAGTTGATATTAGTGTCATATTCTCCAACAATAAACTTGCCTCCCCTCCCTCTGCACCGTCTTCCATGCACCAACAAGAGTCTTCAATAAAGGTAAGTGTGATGTTAAATGTTCATTTATACATTTTATTAGTGCTTTACATTTATTTGCCATTCTTTTCTGCATGTAAATCTATATTTAAGATAGGGAAGTGACCCCAGAAGTGACCTTGAGTCCTTATGGAGGGGGATTCCCCTTCCAAACAATAACCTCTCTTCCCTCTCTCCTCCTCTCTGTCTTCCATTCATCAACAACAGCCTTCAATAAAGGTAACTGTCATGTTGAATGTTCATTCTTTTGTGCATGTAAATCTATCTTGAAGGTAAAAAAAAAAAATTGTTGATACTTCTGGATGTCTGGAACGAATTAATTGGATTTACATTATTTCTTGTGGGGAAAATGGACTCGCAAATCATCAGTTTCGATAATAGTTGCACTCCCTGGAACGAATTAATTGTGAAAAACGAGGGTCCACTGAATATGATGAACTATGTTTTTTTTTTTTTTTCTCGAAGTATCTTGTCATTTTATGTCAAATCTTGTCATGGTATTGTGCCTTATTGTTCTTTGCTTTCATCTCAAGTACTGAAACCAATTTGTGACCCTCCTCCCCTACCCACACACACACACACATGCTCAAAGGCAGTGGGACCATTAATATCTCTCTCTAGGTCCTGAGAGAGGGAGCAGAGTCACCATGTGTCACTAATAACAGTCTTCATCAAATCTATCAAAATAGGACACCTGTCATAGGTATGGAAGCCAGCAAATATAGTCCCAGTTTTTAAGAAAGGAGGCAGACAGGCAACATTAAACTATTTACCGTTGTCACTGACAAGTATAATATGTAAAGTTATGAAAAAAATGATCAGGAGAAGAGTGGTGGAGAACCTAGAAAGAAGTCGGTTCATACATGACAACCAACAGGGCTTCAAGGATCGGAAATCCCTTTTCACAAACCTACTGGAGTTTAACAACAGGGTAACGGAAGTAAGACAGGTGAGAGAGAGAGAGATGGGTAGATTGCATTTTCTTGAGCTATAAGAAGGCTTTTGACACAATACCACACAAAAAACTGGTAAAAACCTTGAGGAGCAGGCAGAAATAGAAGAAAAAGCACTGCAATGCATCAGGGAGTACCTGGCAGGAAGGAAACGAATGATGGTACATGACTAGGTGTTGGAATAGATACATACAAGGGTTCCATTGGTTGTTGTAGGGAGGCCTCACCCATTCCCTGGAATATTGGCAAAAATCGAATGTTTCTGCTACTTTGAGCTCAATTTCAAGCTACTTTGTCCTACAGTGTTTACTTTGAACTGCTTTTAAATTGGAATTTCTTAAATTTTCCATAAAATTGGCCAAATTACTGATTTCCTTACACATTATAGGGTAGGTTTGATAGATGAGTGGGCAGTTTCTTGTGGTCAATCAATAGAATGGAAGACACACTACTGAAATAGCTAAGAATTTGGCGATATTGTGCTATGGAATTGGCTTAAAATAAGGAATCAGAGTTGGCAAAATTGTCAGTGTAAAAGTCACCTAGACCACTAACTTTGCACCTGCATAATTCTGTAAGTTTTCCATCGAATTTCATATTTTTGGTGTCTTTACCCTGAGAAAAGAAGATTCTCCACAGTTTCAGAGCAGTTTTAATTCAGAGAGATGAAACAGTGAAAGGTGCTATCATGCATGCCAGTTATCATTATGATGCCTGTAAAAAAGTTCATGTGTGTGTGTTTGCCATTCAGAAGGTAAATATATTAATTGTTCTATTACACATGTCATGTTTGATCAGAACAACAGGATTTAAATAAAATTTATTCCAACCTAACTTACCTTTTAGTTTTTTTACATGTTACTAGAAATACATTTTTTATTATATTTTTTTTGCCTAATAATGAATTGTTCTTTTGATCATTTAGGAGAATATCCACAAACTACCTCAAACAGCAGCAATAGTCTTTGGAGCCCAAATGGTACAGGGACACGCTTGTTTGGGGAGACTGCTGCAGCCCCTCTAGTACCTGCCATTCACCCAAGCTATCAGAAAAAGACTCCACAAGAGAAGATTCAACAACGCTTACGTACACAGCAGGTACAGCACACACTTTATATTAATAAGTTTATTCCTTTATAAATGAACTCATTTGATGGTGATAAAAAGGAGACAACCCTTCATTTTTGATAATGTACTTGGATTGTTGTGTGTTTTTATGCAGGAAACATGTAAAATCTGAAATATGTATTTCATGATCTTACATGAATGACCATTACTGGAAAGGGGGGTCCATTGCTTTCTTTGGGGAACCTGCTCAGTTGTAGAGAGTAGGACCTCTTTTATTGCATGGGGTAACAGTCATGTAATAAGCACTATTCAAAAATGCTCCGTTTAGAGTGAAGAATATATGATAAAGTAAGATTGTGTTCTTTACACAAAATTTTCATTTTTATTTTGTCAACAATAATAGTTTTTGAAACTTTACATTGTAGGTATGATCCATATGTGTTTAGCACATAAAATGAATCATCATACATTGTATATGTCATTGGTTGATCTAGAAATGTGTAGTGTGTGTTGGTTTCCCTAGTAGGTCTACTTGAATGTAAACAAGTGTAATAAATCAAGTGTTTGACTTTATTGGGCTATTCTGGGTCAGATCTACACATGTACTTTTTACATGCTCATAACATGTGTGTGTCTTCAAGACCATTGTAAAAACAGTGTGTGTTATGTACTTTAGGCCTAAGGAAAAACTTGATGAATAAACCTAAGTAAAAATAAAAGTAAAAGTAGGCCTTAGACAGGGATATGTAATGTCACCATAGTTGTTTAATATATTTATAGAAGGGGTTGGGGAGAAGAGTGCAATTAAATTATGGAGAATCAAATACAAAATCAAATCAAATCAAGTTTATTCTCTCTAAAGCTATGGCAGGAAAAGAGGGACTATGAATGTATTAATTCAGGGATTATGTGGAGTAAAATATAGGTTGGATGTAAAAAGTGGGTTATAGTAAGCTTATATGTACCTGGAGAAGAGAGAAGTGTAGAGAGAGGTTTTGGGAAATGTTGAGTGAATGTGTGGGGAATTTTGAACCAAGTGTGAGAGTACTTGTGGTTGGGGATTTCAATGCTAAAGTGGGTAAAAATGTAGTGGAGGGAGTAGTAGGTAAATTTAGGGTGCCAGGGGTAAATGAAAATGGGGAGCCTTTAATTGAGCTATGTGTAGAAAGAGATTTGGTAATGAGTAATAAATATTTTATGAAAAAGAGGATAAATATACAAGGTATGATATAGCACGCAATGAAAGTAGTTTATTAGATTATGTATTGGTGGATAAAAGGTTGATGGGTAGGCTCCAGGATGTGCACGTTTATATAGGGGCAACTGATATATCGGATCATTATTTAGTTGTAGCTACAGTTAGAGTAAGAGGTAGATGGGACAAGAGGAAAATGACAACAACAAGTAAGAGGGAGGTGAAAGTGTATAAACTAAGGGAGGAGGAAATTCGGGTGAGATATAAGCAACTATTGGCAGTAAGGTGGGCTGGTGCAAGTATGAGTAGTGGGGTTGAAGAGGGTTGGAATAGTTTTAAAAATGAAGTATTAGAATGTGGGGCAGAAGTTTGTGGTTATAGGAGGGTGGGTGCAGGAAGAAAGAGGAGTGATTGGTGGAAGGATGAAGTAAAGGGTGTGATAAGAGAGAAAAAGGTAGCTTATGAGAGGTTTTTACAAAGCAGAAGTGTTATAAGAAGAGTAGAGTATATGGAGAGTAAAAGAAAGGTGAAGAGAGTGGTAAGAGAGTGCAAAAGGAGAGCAGATGATAGAGTGAGAGAGGCACTGTCAAGAAATTTTAATGAAAATAAGAAAAATTTTTGGAGTGAGTTAAACAGGTTAAGAAAGCCTAGGGAATGAATGGGTATGTAAGTTAAAAACAGAGTAGGGGAGTTAGTGGATAGGGAGATGGAGGTATTACCTGGAGTTTACCTAGAGAGAGTTCCGGGGGTCAATGCCCCCACGGCCCGGTCTGTGACCAGGCCTCCTGGTGGATCAGAGCCTGATCAACCAGGCTGTTACTGCTGGCTGCACACAATCCAACGTACGAGCCACAGCCCGGCTGGTCAGGTACCAACTTTAGGTGTTTGTCCAGTGCCTGCTTGAAGACTGCCAGGGGTCTATTGGTAATCCCCCTTATGTATGCTGGGAGGCAGTTGAACAGTCTCGGGCCCCTGACACTTATTGTATTGTCTCTTAGCGTGCTAGTGACACCCCTGCTTTTCATTGGGGGGATGTTGCATTGTCTGCCGAGTCTTTTGCTTTCGGTGTGAGTGATTTTCATGTGCAAGTTCGGTACTAGTCCCTCTAGGATTTTCCAGGTGTATATAATCATGTATCTCTTCCGCCTGTGTTCCAGGGAGTACAGGTTCAGGAAATTCAAGCGCTCCCAGTAATTGAGGTGTTTTATCTCCATTATGCATGCCGTGAAGGTTCTCTGTACATTTTCTAGGTCAGCAATTTCACCTTCCTTAAAAGGGTGCTTTTAGTGTGCAGCAATATTCCACCTAGATAGAACAAGCGACCTGAAGAGTGTCATCATGGGCTTGGCATCCCTAGTTTTGAAGGTTCTCATTCCACCCCTGTCATTTTTCTAGCAATGCGATTGATACAATGTTATGGTCCTTGAGGTGAGATCCTCCGCCATGATCACTCACCAGGGTCTTTGACGTTGGTTTTTCGCTCTATTTTGGGGAAGGAATTTGTTTTGTACTCTGATGAAGTTTAATTTCCTCATGTTTACCATATCTGAGTAATTGAAATTTCTCATCGGTAAACTTCATATTGTTTTCTGCAGCCCACTGAAAGATTTGGTTGATGTCCGCCTGGAGCCTTGCAGTGTCTGCAATGGAAGACACTTATCATGCAGATTTGGGTGTCATCTGCAAAGGAAGACACGGTGCTGTGGCTGACATCCTTGTCTATGTCAGATATGAGGATGAGAAACAAGATGGGAGCGAGTATTGTGCCTTGTGGAACAGAGCTTTTCACCGTCGCTGCCTCAGACTTTACTCTGTTGACTACTACTCTTTGTGTTGTTTGTGAGGAAATTATAGATCCATCTGCTATAGATGGCTAGAATATTTTGAGGAACTTTTTAATGTCGACGAGGAAAGAGAGGTGGTAATTTCATGCACTGGCCAGGGAGGTATACCATCTTGTAGGAGTGAAGAAGAGCAAGATGTGAGTGTGGGAGAGGTGCATGAGGCATTATGTAGAATGAAAGGGGGTAAAGCAGCTGGAACTGATGGGATCATGACAAAAATGTTAAAAGCAAGGGGGGATATAGTGTTGGAGTGGCTGGTATTTTTGTTTAATAAATGTATGAAAGAGGGGAAGGTACCTAGGGATTGGCGGAGAGCATGTATAGTCCCTTTATATAAAGGAAAGGGGAGAAAAGAGATTGTAAAAATTATAGAGGAATAAGTTTACTGAGTATACCAGGAAAAGTGTACTGTAGGGTTATTATTGAACGAATTAAAGGTAAGACAGTATGTAGGACTGCGGATGAGCAAGGAGGTTTTAGAGTGGGTAGGGGATGTGTAGATCAAGTGTTTACATTGAAGCATATATTTAGGTATCTGTCCAGCTCCTTCTTGAAGGCAGCCAGGGGCCTATTGGTAATTCCCCTTATGCTTGGTGGGAGGCTGTTGAAGTCTTGGGCCCCGGGCACTTGTGGTGCTTTCTCTTAGTGTACCAATGGTGCCCCTACTTTTAATTGGGGGTATTTTGCATCGCCTGCCTAGTCTTTTACTTTTGTAGGGAGTGATTTCTGTGCGCAGATTTGGGACTATTCCTTCTAGGGTTTTCCAAGTGTACATTATGATATATCTCTCTCTCCTGCGTTCCAGAGAGCACAAGTCAGGTGCTTCCAAGCGTTCCCAATAGTTGAGGTGCTTGATAGAACTTATACATGCAGTAAAGGTTCTCTGTACACTCTCTAGATCTGCAGTTTCACCTGCTTTGAATGGAGATGTTAATGTACAGCAGTATTCCAGCCTAGAGAGAACAAGTGATTTGAAAAGGATCATCATTGGCTTGGCATCTCATGTTCTGAACGTTCTCATTATCCATCCTATCATTTTCTTTGCACTTGTGATTGTGGCACTGTTGTGATCCTTGAAAGTGAGATTCTCAGACATTACCACTCCCAGGTCCTATACATTATTTTTCTGCTCTATTGTATGGCCAGAGTTTCTAGTATACTCTGTTCTAGCTATTATCTCCTCCAGTTTTCCATAACAGAGTAGTTGGAATTTGTCCTCACTGAACATCATATTGTTTTCCGTTGCCCACTGAAAAACATGGTTTATATCTTCTTGGAGGTTAACCGTGTCCTCGATAGATGAGTTTCATGCAGATCCTAGTATCGCTTGCAAAGGATGACATGGTGCTGTGGTTTACATCTTTGTCTATGTCTGATATGAGGATGAGGAACAGGATGGGGGTGAGTACTGTGCCTTGTGGAACAGAGCTTTTCACTGTGGCAGCTTCTGATTTAACTCTGTTGACCATTACTCTTTGTTTTCAATTGGTTAGGAAGTTGAAGATCCATCTCCCCACTTTGCCAGTTATTCCTTTAGCACGTATTTTGTGCACTATTATGCCATGATCACACTTGTCAAACGCTTTTGCAAAGTCTGGGGATGTTACGTCTGCATTCTGTTTTTCTTCCAGTGCATCCAAGACCATATCATAGTGATCCAGTAGTTGTGAGAGGCAGGAGCGACCTGCCCTGAACCCATGTTGCCATGGATTGTGCAGTTTTTGGGAATCCAGGTGGTTTGCAGTCATGCTTCCTAGCACTCTTTCAAAGATTTTTATGATGTGGGACGTTAGAGCTATTGGTCTATAGTTCTTAGCTAATGCTTTGCTGCCACCTTTATGGAGTGGGGCTATATCTGTTGTTTTAAGTGACTGTGGAATTTCACCCATGTCTAAGCTCCTTCTCCATAATATACTTAGGACATGTGAAAGGGTTTTCTTGCAGTTCTTAATGAACACTGAGTTTCACGAGTCTGGGCCTGGGGCTAAGTG